GGCACAAAATTCCTCCGGCTGTACCCTCTGTAGGTAACCACCTGTTCTGGCCACGCCCGTGGTGGGCAGTGCGGGCCCACCTGTGTTCGGCTGCTTCTCCGACTGCCTGGTGCTGGGCCCGTCCTCTCCCCGGTGGGGTGTCCCCGTGGAGCTCGCCCACCGATGGCTGAGGTAAGAAGCTGCACTTCCTCGAGCTGCTGCCCGCGCCACTGCCTCCTCGTTAAGCTGGGGATGCGGCACACCATGTGAACGCTCACGGCAGGGACTGCGCCTCTCTCCCTGCACACGTGGTGTGGTCCGACCTCCCACTTCCTCCCAGTCTTAGGGGTGGTTGCTCGTCATTCGTTTTCAAGGCTGCTGTTGTCTAATGGGGCCAGTGCTGCAGGGAATGTCGTGCCTGACATCCTTGTGAACACGAGTAAGTCCGTTTACAGTCAAAACCCTAGCGGTGGGATTGCTGAGTCAAACGTGGGGACATTGAAAGCCTCAATAAATGTCACCAAATTGCCTCCTAAAGTCGCTGTCCCGTGGGAGCACCTGCTCAGCAGGGGAGAGGCTGCCTCTGGTCCATGCCGGCCAGGGTACAGACCCGGGTCTCTGCCAGTACAGGGTGGACAGGAGGGTCTGGTTTGTAAAATGGGCTCTTCCTTAGAAGGAGGTTCCGTTAGCCACGTTTCTCTGCAAGCTGCCCATCTCTGCCCTTTCCCTGTTTTTCTTTTAGCCTGCTTGTCTTTTCTTATTGGTTTGGAAGAGCTGTTTGTATGGGAAGGAAGCCACCTGTTCTGTTGTCTGCAGATGTCTCCCCCCCACCGGTAGTGCTTTTGAAGTTGTTCACATAATTTTTTCCCTACAGAGGTTTTTAATTTGTGTGTAGTCAAATTTATGTTTTCTTTGTGTTTTGTAATTCTTCTGTGTGTTTTTTATAATACTTTTATTTACACATTTAATCCACCAGGACCCTATTTTGATATACAAAGAGGGGTGTACGATTCCTGCTTTACTGTCCCTGGGCCTGCGACCTCCCTGAATTCTGGGGTCTGCAGGGCCTCCCACGAGTGGTTCCAGGCCCCCTTTTCGGGATGTAAGCTTCCAAACCCTCTGCTGTCTCCAGGGACGGCACGTTTGGTTCCTGTTTCTCTGGTGCCTGGGGATGGGCTGGGTGGCCGAGGTCCTGGGGGCAGAGCTGGGAGGTCCCTGACCTGCATGCTCAGCCTGCTTTTTGTTCAAATGCAGTGCAGTTACGATTCAGGCTAGTCTCCACTGGTTGTAGACTTTTTTTTTTTTAATTGTTTCAAAATTATAGAAAGTTGCAGTAATGTAGAGAAAGCTTCTTCCTGAATCTTTGAGAGTGAGTTGCCGACACCCATCTTGTCATCAGGAGGCTTCTGTGTGAGGCCGCCCCCCTGCCTTCTCCTGTTGGGCGTGTGGGTCATGCCATGCCCGTCCCCAGCTCCTGTTGCTTAGGCTAATGCCCCAGACAGATGCCCCCTCCCCCCAATCCAGCCCTTACACCCCACAGTGGGCGCCGTCATCATCCCGTTCATGATTAGACACTGTGCTGGGCCCTGTGGACATCTCAGCCCCCTACCTCCCAGAGCCTCTGACATCTGCACAGGGCTACACATGCCCTCCTTGCCCCACACCCGGCTGCCCGTCCCCCTTGTGCCTGGCGCCTGGGTACTATGGTGGGGTGCAATGCTGGTGGCATTGGGGTGCAGTGCAGGGTGCATTGGGGGGGTGGGTGTCTGTTGGTTGGACCAGCCAGAGGAGCAGCATTGATCCCGGGGGCCTGTGCTGAGCCTCCTGCCATGTGGCCCCGTCTTTTCACCCGCTCACACACCTGTCCCCACCCTGAGCAGCACTCTGACAGTCAGCCAAGGGTGACTCTGAAAGGTCGCAGTGACTTCCCTTTCTGGCGGGGGAGTGAGCGGTCGGTGAGTGAGAAGGAAAGTAGGTCAGCTCCCGGCGCATCTGAAAGTCTCAACAAAAGGCCGAAGCCTGTAGGATCTTCCTCTTGGAAAAGGGATGAAATTCCCGTGGGAGTCACGGGTTATAGGGGCTTTATACAATAGGCTCACCACCTTTCTCTTGACAGAACTTGTTTCTGCCTTGTTTCTCTGAGACGTCATGGGTCTGTTGTAACAGCCAAGTCAGGATCAGCTGGGAGGTACGCATCTCATATAGATGTGTTCTGGGTGGGACATGTCCTGGGCTTAAGCCGTGTTATCTCTGGGCAAACCAGGTAAAGCCAAGGAAGTGGGGCCAGACTGGAGTCCGCTCTGTGTTTAGAGCAAACTGGAGGCAGAGGCGCTGTCAGCAGCACCCAGCATCTCCCGGCCCAGCGACCTCCCACCCGTGTTCCCGCGTGCCACCGCCCCGACGTGGGGCAGATGTGTGCTCCCAGAACAGGATGCGCCCGCCAGCCTGGCAGCATCCCCTCCACCCCCAGGCCAGGCCAGGCTCGGCATGGACAGATTCACCTCTTGCAGCTCTCCGTAAGGCGGCCTCTCTTCACCCAGTTGGAAGAATTCCAAAGGGGTGACGGCGGTCTCTCGGGATTTGTATCATAAATTTATGGATCACACCAAAAGTTATCCTGCTCTCTGCCCCACCCATTTTCTGGGAAAGCGGGGACTCTGGGAGCTCAGGAACTAGCGAGAGGTCCCTCCTTCTGCGGGTCTCCCGCTGCCCAGGGTGTGGTCCCCGCCCCATTGGCACCAGGGGGCAGGAGGGTGCTGGCTGCTCCAGCCCATGCTTAGAGAAAGAAGGGCCTGGAGAAGGGGAGCCCAGCACCACCTGATAAACCAGCTGGCACTGCCCCAGCCTCCTGGGGCCACACGATGGCTTCTGCCGACACAGGGTGCTCATCCGGCTGGGAGTCACCGTCCAGTTGGCGTGGGGCAGGCCCCAGTGATGTCAGTGGAGCACGTGGCTCACTCGAGGGGCAGTGGGCACCATGCTGCGACTCGGTGGTCCTCCTACCTTGAGTACGCCTGTTGGTGGCAGGGGGTTCTCTGTCTTGCTCCGCCCCCCTGCCCCCAGCCTGCCACGGAGGAGATGGCGGCCCTGGGATCAGCGGGACAGCCCTAGGGAGCTCCTGTCCTGCAGGCAGGGCCAGGTGTGTTTTTATGGCACTCTAAGGAGCAATACGTACGTTCATACCTTGCTTCATGGTTTATTTTGGAGAATAAACCTCCACATCCCGTGTCTCCAGTACCCCTCCAGTGGCATGGTCCGGGGGATGCTGGTGAAGCTTCACTGGGGCCCAGCCCAAGGCCACCATGCCGTGGAGGCCTGATTGCTCTGGGTGCAGCTGTCATACTCTGTTCCAGTCCTGGTTTGCAGCAGTTCTCCGTGACAAGTTACGGCCCCTTCTGAGCCTCAGTTTTCCCATCTGTAAAATGGGGCTGGTTCACAGGTCACTGACGGAAATGTGCCCACTGCTCCTGAAGGTCAGCAGGTGTCTTCAGGTAATTAGCGAAGCAAAGCAGTGTTAGAGCTGCCCTCTTCCTTCGTAGGTAATTGGTGACGGGGCCCTAGCACCTGGTAACTTGCAATGCTGGCTCTGCAGCTCCTCGTGGGCAGTGGGCAGGTGCAGTTCACACATGGCCTGCTTACCCTGGAGGCGTGGCTCCTGCCTGGCTGATGACAGGAAGCACAGTGCTCTGCATCATTCATCAGAAGATGGATGTGTTGGTCAGCTCCGGCTGCCATAGCAAATAGCACAGATGGGGCGGTTTAAACGACAGATGTATTTCTCACAGTTCTGGAGGCCGGTAGTCCGAGATCCAGGTGTGGGAGGGCTGGTTCCTCCTGAGGCCTCCCTCCTTGGCTTGTAGATGCCATCTTCTCCCTGTGTCCTCACATAGCTGTCCCTCTGTGTGTGTCCTGATCTCTTCTCATAAGGACACCAGTCAGAGTGGATTAGGGTCCATCCTAGTGACCTCATTTCAATTTAATTACCTCATTAAAGACCCCGTCTCCAAATACTGCCGCATTCTGAGGTGCTGGGATTAGGGCTTCAGCATAGGGCTTTGGGAGATACAGTTTAGCCCATAGCAATGGGGATGTGCAGACATGCCATGGGAGGAACTGGGCCGGGTGAAATGACCATGAAATTAGACAGGCCCAAGGGACAGGAGCTGGGGGAGCAGGGTGGGCCATGGGAGGGTCAGCTGGATGGCCTGGTTCTGATGACAGAGATGTTCTGGGGGACACAGAAGAAGGTGCATGTTGTGCTCTGTGCCCTGACGCTGGACCAGTGAGGCCGGGGACACATCCCTACACTGGCAAGTGAGGGTGGACTGACGGCTCCCAGAGAAGGCACGTCTGAAGAGAGTGGGATTCTCTTATTACCTTGGTAGATTCAGTGACAAGATGTGGGACCACGTCTTGTTTAACCTGGACTCACCTGAGACCCCTCATCTTTGGGCACCGCCTGTGTGGAGAAATTTTAGTCAGGGACCATGAGCCTCAGCTCCAGGCTGCCTGGGTCCTGGGCTCAGCAGAAAGGGACCCTCGGTGTGTGAGGCTTCCACTCAGTTCTTGCTAGCTTGTGCTTCTCCCTGAGTTGTGGGGCATTCTCTGGGCTGCGTGGTTATGCTGCAGCATGTCCTGAGGGTCATCCTGGGGTTGGGGTTGGAGGGCTTGTTGGTAAAGGCCTGCCTCGGCATCCTGGGGCAGCCCCGTGGAGAGTGCCAAGCCGTTGCCTCAAAGGGACACCAGTGCTTAGGGAGCTTCCTGACTGTGCTGAGGAGCCCCCCGTGAGGAGCCCCCAGCTCTGCTCCCCCGTGGAGGCTGTGAGAGGCTGGGGCTGGCCGTCGCACCCAGGCACAGCCCCACTGCTGTGGGTGCCATGGCCCAGCGTGGGTGGCAGTGTTGCCAGGCACCCTCAGAACCTGCCCCAGCCCTGTTCCTGGGCTTGGTGGGGTGGGAGCCCCAGGCTTTGTCCTGTGGGAACAGGGACGCCCCACTCACCGCCACGTATTCTCTGTCCTCAGGCACAGAGGCGAAGGCTGTTATGCCCAAGAAGGAGAAACTGAAGCTGAGACGCGAGAGGTGGCTGCAGAGTAAGTGCATCCTTTGGCCCCCCGGGTGGTGGTGCCGGCTCCCCCTACAGCCGGGGCAGCACAGGCTTCCAGGGAGCCATGCTCCAGGGCTGGCTTGGAACCCCTTTTGAGGCCCCAGCCATGGCCAGCGGGTGGTCTGGGGCCGTGGGGGGCCTTGGCAGCATGCCCAAGATGGCCTGTGCTGTGACAAGCAGATGGCCCCTGGGGAAGGTGGCCTTGTCACCCCGTACGAGGGTCTGCAAAGCCTGGACTTACTCCTTCCTAAGAAAATGGTCTCAAGAAGCTGCTGCATTCAGCTCCTTGTGTGTAAAAACGATTCTGGTTTTGGTCCCAGGATGAAATTTGTAATTATAAAAGTAACATGTGCTTGATGTGTTTTATGATACAGAACTATCTGAAGTAGTAGGTGAAATCACTTTTCCGTTAGGTGTGCGTCCTTCCAGATGTTTCTCCAGGTGTGCGACAGCACAGGGTGTCTATGGGCAGCTGTGGTTCTCAGTGTGGTCCGAGGACTCCCACGGTCCCACTGTCTTTTCAGGGGTCGGTGGGTCCTTGCTTTACGAGTACCTGTCTGTGAGGGTGGATTTTCTTCGTGTGTTTCCAGTCAAACGTCTCACAACAGATCGAATGCCACTCTACCCACCAATTTGGTTTTGGAAAATATAGTTATTTTTCATGATGCTGAACATTTGCTAATGTTTTTCTAAAAAAAGATTTTATGATTGTTTGGTAATTTTTTTTCTTAATGTTATCTTTTTAGTGTGATTCTGCTGACTTTTTAAATTAATTTGGAATATTTTCTTCTTTATGTTCTCACACAGTTAAAATATGATCTGGATTATTTTTTCCTTGATTAAAGAAAATGTATGTTTTGAATTTTTTTAGAGAAATTCATCAATTTCTTCCACAGTTATTAATTTTACGTTTTATGTAACTTTTGGATGTTTATCATTCATCTGTTTTGTTTTTCACAATCCCTAGCGTGGAGTTGTGCAAAATATTCTTTGTGAAGTGTGTTTGGAAAAGCTAATAAGACCGTGACCACTGGGACCCTGAACGTTTGTGGGCCACAATTCATTGATGACATTTCAATTTTCTTCTATGGTGCTTGGTCTTTTTTTTACTGGTTGAGTCGATCTTGGCCACTCATGTTTCCCCATGAAATCATCTAACCTAATCACATCGCAACCTCTATTAGCAAAAAGGCTGGCTGGTTTCTCATATTACTGAATGTCCCGTGCATCGCTCTTGATGTCAGCCCTTCTGTCGTTTCTGATTAGCTTTGTCTCTTCCATTCCAAGAGTTAATTCTTGTATTTACTTGTCAATTCCACTCTTTTGTTTTCTAAATTATTAGTTTCTCTTACCTTGTTCTTGCTTTCTTTGGGTCTCTCTGAGTTACTTAGCTCATTTATTTTTATGTGTTTTGTTCAGGAATGAAGGGCTGTAAATTAGCCTCTGAATGTGGCCTTAGCTACATCTCCCAAGTAATTAAATATTACTTACTCTTTTATGATGTAAACTTTCATACAGAAAAGTCAGAAGCATTTTGCAGTGAACACCTTGTACTCACCACGTGGATTTTAGTTGTCACATTATTTCTTTATCACGTATCTGTTCATCTGTCCATTCTTGTCTGTACATCCATCCACCAACCCATGTTTTATCTATGTATTCCAAAGTCAGTTGTAGACATCAGTACACTTTCTCTCAAGTAATTCTGCTCGAGTTCAATATTTGTTTATGATTGTTTTTTATTTTTATTTTGAGGTAAAATTTACACACAATAAAATGTAAGTCTTAAGTGTGCCATTCAGTGATTTGTGACAAATGCATGCAACTGTGCCACCAAAATCCCTGTCAAGATACAGAACATCACCATCGCTGAGAACTCCCTGGTGCTCCCACCCTCAACTACCCCACAGGCAACTGCTGTCTGATCTGATTTGGGTCATAGTTTAGGTGTCCTGCTGTGGACGCCATATAAATGGAGTGGTGTAGGGTATGCTCTTTTTGTGTCTGGAATCTTCTGATCAGTGTGATGTTTTTTGAGATTCATCCTTGCTGCCTGGAGCCGTAGTCCGTGCTCTTCTGTTGCCAAGAAGCATTTCTTTACACAAACATACACTGTTGGGTACTTACCTTCCTATTGATGGGCACCTCGTCTTTTTCCTCTTGTTAGCTACTACTAATAAGGCTGCTATGAACATTCTTTACAAATCTTTTTGTGGACATATGTTTTCCTTTCTCTTGGGTAAATACTTGGGAATGGAATGCTGGGTCATAGGGTAGATGTATGTTTAGTTTTATAAGCAACTGCCAGACATTTCTCTGCAGTGGGTGTGCATTTACACTCCCACCAACAACGCAGGAGAGTTCTGGTTGTGCCATGGCTTTGCTAGTGTGTAGTGGCATCTCTCTCTTTAGTCCTAGCCGATATGCTGGGCCAAAGTGGTAGCTCATTGTGGTGTTAACTTTCATTGGCACGATCGGGCATTTTCATGTGCTTACTGCTCATTTGTTCCCCATCTTCAGTCAAGTTTCTGTTTCACGAGGCTCTTTGCCTTTTTATTATTGAGCTCCAAGAATTCTTATGTCTTGGAGACCAGTTCTTGGTCAGATGTGTTTTGCAAATAATTTTCTCCCAGACTGAGACTTGCTTATTCTTTTTTTATTTTCTTTGATGAATGGAAGTTTAATTTTGAGGAGTCTAATTTATCTTTTTTCGTATATGGTTATTGTGTGTATATGTGTGTGTATGTCTTATTTAAGAAAATTGCCCAATCCCAAGTCATGAAGATGCTATCCTGTTCTTCTAAAAACTTTATAGATGGCTTTTATATTTAAGTTTCTGATCCATCCCTTCAATTCATGTTTATCTATGGTATGAGGTACTGGTTAAGATTCTTTTTCTTTTTTTTCAGTATGGATAGTCAGTTGTACCAGCACTTTTGGTTATAAAGACTTTTCTTTCCTTATTCGATGGTTTTGGTGTCTTTGTGAAAAATCAGCTGGCCTCCTAAGCATGGTTGTGTTTGGGGGCCTCCTCCGTTGATCTGTTTGTTGTACTTTAGCGAGTCCCAGGCTGTCTTGACTGCTCAGCTTTAGAGTAAGTCTTGGAGTCAGATCAGGGAAGCCCTCCATGCTAGTTTCCCTGTTTTAAGTTTGCCGTGGATATTCCAGGTCCTCAGCATTTCCATATAAATTTTACAGTAGGCTTGTCAATTTGTTAAAAACTACCACCACCACCACCACCAAAAACCTAGTAGGATTATGACTGGGATTGCTTTGAATCTATAGATCAATTTCAGGAGAATTGCATTTTAACAATATTGAATCTTCAAATCCATGAGCATGGTATATCTCTCCATTTATTTTGATTTTCTTTAATTTTTTTCATCAGTGTTGTGCAGTTTTCAGGGTAGAAGTCTTACATGGGTTTTTTTGAGAAGCTAATTGCTAACTGCATTGTAGTTTTTGAAACTATTATAAGTGGAATTCTCACAAGCTTCATTTTCCAATTTTATGCTAGTGTATAAAAGCATAATTTTTTAGACTATATCCTCTGACCTTGCTAAAATCATGTGTTAGTTCTTGTAGTTTTTCTGTAGATTCCTTAGAATTTTCTATGTAAATTAGCATGCCACTTAAAGTAGAGACAGTTTTACATCTTCCTTTCCAAACTTCATGTTTTCACAATTCTCATCTTACTGCAGTGGCTCGAACCTTTGTAGTGTTGACATAAGGGCAAGAATTGTTTTCAGTCTCGGAGACCTGGGGTCTGAGCCATGGTAAAGAGCCTGCTCTGTTCAGGACAAGGAGCCCTAGGCCACTGTGGTGTGTAGAGCAGGTTGCCCTCATGTGTCTCTGTTTCAGGCCCTATTTATAAGGAACTCCCTTCAGTTTTTATAGATTAACGAATGTGGGCAGGAAGGTGACCGACCAGGGGATGACAGGACGCTTCCCATGACGCCTGTTTTCTGTTATGGGGCGTGGATGGGCCTTCAGGGAGCTGGCACCAGCCCTCCTGGGCACCACATAGAAACACAGCTTTCAGCCTGTAAAAATTTCCCACATTTAGCATCTCATATAGCCAGTTAAAGCTGGTTTTGGAGGCCCAATTTGCATATGAAATGCTTTCTTGATTGCACCTCAAGCTAGTTTTTTTTTTAATATAATTTTATTTATTTATTTTTTTTCCCCCAAAGCCCCAGTAGATAGTTGTATGTCATAGCTGCACATCCTTCTAGTTGCTGTATGTGGAACATGGCCTCAGCATGGCTGGAGAAGCGGTGCGTCGGTGCGGGCCGGGGATCAAACCCTGGGCCGCCAGCAGCGGAGCGCTCGCACTTAACCGCTAAGCCACAGGGCCAGCCCTCAAGCTAGTTTTAAATTAGGTGGTTTAGGATGAAGGAGTGTCTGTCTCTGGCACCTTCTTGAGCTGAGCCTTGGTGGAGAGCGGGAGGGCAGACGAGGCCTCACCGCCCCAGCCAGGCCCCACAGATGCTCCCTGACTGTCGTTGCTTTAGAGCTTGCTGCTCTGGACCACAGAGTTGGTAGAAGGACCTTTTCGTGTCCTTCTCACAAGTAGGCTGGCCATGAAAATCTGCTCCTAGGGAAACAAACGGCAGTGTGTGGTCAGTCTCAGTCTGGTCCCGGCACCCTCAGAAGAGTTTCCCTGGAGAGAAGTTAATGAAGGAAGCTATTTATGGACTAGGTACCTCTGATGTGGAGGGAGCCAGTGAGGTGGGTGAGGCCCAGGGACTCAGGAAACCAGTACCACCCTGCCTGGAGGGGCAGAGGGAGGAGCCATCAGCAGAAGAGGGCGCAGCAGCCGGGAGGGCAGGGGGCAGGGGCAGTAAGTGCCCATCCTCTCCCTCCACTCCCTTCACTGCTGCCTCTGCCGAGGGAGGAGACAGCCAGATCACCCTCACTTTGCTGAGAGCCGCCAGCCTTTGTGAAGCCCCTGTGCCGAGGCCATTGGCCTGTGACTGACACCCCTTCAGTTCACTGCTCTGGCTCTTTGGCATCCCCACCCCCGGGCAGGAGTGAAAGGGCATCCAGATCTGAGGACAAATGGAGTTTTCACTGCAGGTAGATACTAAGTTATAAAACTGTTGAGGTGATACAGACAGAGCTGAAGACCCATTCACTACCAGGCTCGCATCTGGTTTTCAGCTCAGGAGTAACCACTGGTTGGTTGTGTAAGATTCAACTGGCAGACCTTTCTCGTTTCACCGACGTGTGCGCACATGCTGGGGTGTGGGGCTTTAGAGATGGCATTGTGTGTGTGCGCGCGTGCGTGCATTTTTCCTCGGTGTGCCTTCTTCACTCAGTAAGTGTTGAAGCTTTGCCCGTCGGTGCCCGTGGTTCTGCCCTCTGCTCCTTGCACACGTGCAGCTCCTGCCCCGGGGCCTCTGTCCCTGCCTGTCCTCCTGCTGGGGTGCCTGCCGCCCGTGGCCTCCCCCTGCTCACTATGCCTTGGCTCCACTTCCAGGCCATCCGCCCACCCTGGTGGTCACGTGGCTGTGGCCAGTGGGTCCCAGAGTGCCAGGTGAAGGTGGGCACACACTCCACCTGACTGCCTTCACCGCATTGTCCTCCAGCATCCAGCAGCACCCCCCGCCCCCCCGCCAGTATTACTAGACTTTAAAATCAGCCCATCTGGTAGATGAAGATGGTAGGTCACCGTCATTTTCTCTCCCTTGATTTCTAGGCAAGTTGAGCAGCTCTTTCTGTGTTTTTTGGCCATTGATTCCTCTCTATTTGTTTTATTTGTCCAATTTAATTCTTGCATAATTAATTTTTAGGAATAGCGGGAGGGAGAGGGGAAGGGAGGGATCCACCTTTCTCCCAGAAGGATGGCTGGTTAGGTTGAAGTGTGCTCTTCACATTTCCCGCCTCCCCATGAGGCCCCCTCACACGTCTGTCTGCCTTTTCACTACTCTGTTTTAACTTCTGTCATTTCATTATTTGCTTTAATGTCCAATAGGCCAACTCGGTCGTTGCTTGTTCTTTTTCAAAAATGTTTTGGCTGTTCTTATGCCTTTAGTCTTTTTGAAAAATAAGATTTGGGATTAGCTTCCCAGGTTCAGTTGAGTAAGCTGTTGAGGTTCCGTTGAGGCTGGTAAGGTTTGTGGACCGTTTGGGAAGAGCTGTGCTCTCCCGTTGGTTCTGCCAGCAGCTGCTGTGGGTTCTTAGGGCGCCTGCTCGTCCCCCACCCCTCCCTACCTGGGCGTTGAGCTGCCAGGTGGCGTTGGCATGGGGTCTCGGTCATCTTTTTCTTGTTCTGACTTTATAATCGAGTATGCCCAATGTTTTACCACAAAATGTGATATTTATTCCAGGTTTCTGGTAGATAATCTCTGTCAAATCGAGGAAGTTCCTTCTGTTCATGATTGCATTGTGATTTTTGTCATGAGTGGATAGTGAATTCTGTCAGATTCTTTTAGGCAATTCTTGTGGTGACTGTGGCCTTTCCCTTTTAAGCAGCCACTGCAGTGGAGCACCTGGCAGGGGTCCTCGTGGCGAGCCCTCCTTGCATGCTTCTAGTCACACACCCGGGTTGGTCACCTAGCATTATTTATGTAAAACGCTTCTGGCTCTGATTTGTGTTGGCATTTACATCTGTCTTCACAGGAACCACAGACCTTTGCTTCGCTCTCCCTGGTCCCAGTGCAGCATTGACGTGTGGTCTGCAGCCTTGGGAGCAGCCCGAGACACACACACACGCACACACACAGACACAGACACACACACACACTCACACACCCCATTTCCTCCCGCCCCCCGCCCCAGGGGACCTGGGCTCTCTGGGAAGAGGTGCCTGGTTTGATGAGGTGCCCAGGAAATTGTTTGCCAACTTCCTGGCAGGATGGAAAGTGCTAAATTGTCACCTTATAAGTCCTCATGATCCCAGGGCCATTGAAGGTCCAGTGCATGAGGACCTGGGAGGAAGGGGCGTCTTCGTACCCTGGAGCTCAGCTCTTTGGGGCCAGGTCAAACGACCCACAGTAGACAGGGGCCCCCGGCCTCTCCTAGCCAGGGACTGTGGTTGGGGGCAGGGTGTGTCCTGACTGTGGCTCGGCCAGGGTGGGCCTTTCAGAGATTGCTCTGGGCAGCCGAGGGGCTTCAGGAAGGGGCAGTGCTGCCCCAGGACGGCGAGCTTGGAGAGGAGCTGGCTCTTGAATGGTCCAGGATCGGTCCGCATGGGCCAGTGGCTGACGCTTCTCTGGTGGTGGCGTCTGGCCCCTGTGAGGGCTATGCTGTGAGTCCTCCTGGCCGTCTGTCAGGAAGGCGGCTTTCAGTTCCCAATTAGATGAGATTCAGAGTCTGGACCCCGTTATTCACAGCCCAGTAAACCTGGCACAATTTGGGGTAAGATGGGCGTTTCAAGCCCAGGTCTGATGTCCCAGATCCGTCACAGCCCTTGTCTCCAGGCTTTTTTAGTAGCAGAGCCTTTTTTAACATAAAAAGAACCTAATGCAGAACAAATTAACAAATAAGTTAGCACAGACTCAGTGACTCTTTTTTTTTTTTTTTAAAGATTTTTTTTTTTTTTTCCCCCCAAAGCCCCAGTAGATAGTTGTATGTCATAGCTGCACATCCTTCTTCCAGTTGCTGTATGTGGGACTCGGCCCCAGGATGGACGGAGAAGTGGTGCCTCGATGCGCACCCGGGATCCGAACCCGGGCCACCAGCATTGCAGCGCGCGCACTTAACCACCAAGCCACAGGGCCGGCCCTCAGTGACTCTTTAGTTTAAAACAGCCTCCGGCCATTCCCCGGGTCTGCCTCGGCCTCGCCTGTGGGGGATGCCTTTGATGGGGTTTGCACACTGGCCTTGCCCCGCTGACACCCTCGGGAAGGGAGGGCCTTTGTCCTAGATGTGCACACAAACCAGTGAGCTGGCGTTTTCTCCAGCTACGCTGTGAAAATAACACATTAAAGTATGTGTTGTATTAGCAATTTTGAAGTAAATATATTTTTTAATGAAAATCATATCCCTAGACTGTGGCCCCATTCAGGCTCTGCCTGAACCCCTTTTCCAGCCTCACCCTACAGTTTTTCCATGCCGTGCACTCTGCTTCGCCATACCGGACCCCTGGCTACCCCCCCGCCCACCATGGGTCTGTCCCAGTGGCTGCACATCCCCCTCCTCACAGGCCCAGCCCGCCTGTGTGGGAGCCTCCTCTGAGACCCTGAGGCTCTCGTCCCCTCTCACTTCATACAGCCGCTCTCACCCGTTTCCGTGTTAGGGATCCAGCCTTGTGCCCCCCTGCGCTGTCCACTCGTCCTCCCTTGGGGACTACTTCTCCCCTCCTGTGTGCAGTGCATCCCCAGGAGGCCTCTGGGTGCAGAGGGGATGTGCCGCCCCAGCTAAGTGACTCGCTGTTTCAGTCGAGGGCCTGCTCTTCTCATTCTCCCCTTGCACCTTCTCTGTGCCTGTGCATCTGCCCTCCCTCCGCCCACCCCCGCGTGCCCAGGCCACCCTGCCCACGTCCCTTTTCAGAAGGAACCTTCCTCCGTGCCTGCACCTCCGGTCTCATTATCAGCCCTGTAATTACAAAGTGTGCCTCTGTGATTAACGGGAAAAAATAGCTGGTTTCCAGGGCGGGGTGTAGGTGCCGGCAGGAAAGAACAGAGCAGGCCTGCCCCCCCCGGAAGGAAGCTCGGTGGGCTCAGAGTCAGGAACCTCACGGCCGGCCTCCCGTTTACCTCCAAGGGCCCTGGCACGCACTGTCGCTCGGTGTTTGCTTCTCTCGCTGATCCCTTGTCCTCCTTCCTCAGAAATCGAAGCCCTGAAGCTGGCGGAGCAGGAGCGCAGGGCAGAGCGGAGGCGGAGGGCCACTGTGGTGGTGGGGGACCTGCAGCCCCTGAGGGACGCCCTCCCCGAGCTGCTGGAGCTGGGGGCCAGTGGCAGGCGGCAGCCCACCAGAGGGTGAGTGTCCGTCTCAGCGGCCTGAGACAGCGGGCTGCAAAGGCCGGGACAGGGCTCGCTCTTCCGGAGCTGCTGCCCGTGTCCATGTCCGTGTCCAGAGCGGGAGGAGAAGCAGCGGGCGTGGGGAGGGGGTGGTGCAGGGCTGCCTGACCCCGCAGAGGCCGGCCAGCAAGCACCTCAGCCCTTCTGGACATGAAACCCTTCTCCTATGGACTGAGCCCCAAGGGAGCAGGTGGTGACTCCCTCGAGAGGGGCAGGAGAGCCCTGGGCCCTCCCCTGGCGAGTGGCCCGGCCGGCCTGTTGATGGGGCGCCCATTCGCCTTCTGCCTGTGGGCCCCGGAGCGGCTCAGCCAGGAGGGTGCTGCTGCCTGGCGGGTCCTTCCAGTGCCCCACTGGGCTCTGTGTCCTCCCGTCCCCTGCTGTCTCACCCTCAGGGGTGCAGCCTGCCTTCGGTGCCTCTCTCCCAGAACCAGGATATTCTTCTAGGGCACTGCCTCATCCCTCTGCTTTTTCCAGGCTGTTGTTCCCATAAAAGGAAGGTGCCGTGACCTGGCCTGGCAGGGAGGTGCGTGGCGCAGGTGTGTGCGCCCAAGGTGTCCCAGGCTGCTTAGTGGGGGCTGGGGCTCTGGACGCGGCCTCGGCTTTAGAACAATTGAGAAGGAGTCGGAGGGGCTTTCTCTTCTGTCACAGCTGCCAGATTTTCATCATTTACTCTGTCATCTCTCATTTTGCCTTTTTAAAGGAATTCTTTCTCCCACTGAATTTCCCTCTGAGGAGAAAGGATCTGGGGCCCTCACCCTGTCACAGGCGCCAGGGGGTGGTGGGCAACATGCTCACGGCCACTCGGCTGCATAGCCAGATGGTCCCAGGCTGGCTCCCCGGGATGGAAGCACTCAGAACATTCGGTCCAGATGAGGAGTGGCCACTGGAGTTGAGACTTGGCGATGGAACCAGAGCCTGAGATGCAGATTCCATTCCTGGTTCTTGAACAAAAATGTGACCCGGTCAAATATCCTTTCCCAGCTTTCAGTGTTCTCATCTGAAAAATGCACTCGGGGCTCCCAGAGGGGAGAGGGCCGCGTAAACACCCCAGTCAGCTGCCTGAGGAGGCATACATGAGCGGCTGCGGGGCTGCCCGTGCTGCTGAGCCGGGCCTGTTGTTGAGGCCCTTCCGGAGTCTGAGTGCAGGAAGGTTCCCAGCTGGTCTCACAGCGCCTGAGCCTCCTGTTGGCGCAGGGTCATCGTCCCCTCATGTACGTCTTGACACTGGGGAGCTGTTTGTTTGAATAAACGTTGTTTTAGAACAGTCTTAGTTTACAGAAGAATGGCAGAAATAATAATAAGAGTTCCCACGTCCCTCACTCTCCATTTCCTTGTTAGTAACATCTTACATCAGTGTGATGCTTTCTTCACAGTTAAGGAACCAATATTGATACGTAAATAGTAAATTTAAAATAATAACTGATTAAAACCCCTGCTTCATTCAGACTTCCTCAGTTTTTTGCTGATGTCCCTTTTCTGTCCAGGACCCCGTGCAGGATCCCACATGACATTTAGTCATCATGTCCCTCAGATCGCCCCTTGGCTGTGATAGTTTCTCAGACTTGCCTTGTTTTTGACGACCCTGACAGTTTTGAGGAGCACTACTCAGGCATTTTTGGGGTGCCCTTCAGTTGGGATTCGTATGATGGTTTCTCATGGTTAGACTAGGGTCATGGGTGGTGGGAGGAAGACCACAGAGGTGAGGTGCCCTTCTCTCCACATCACACCCAGGGTGCGTGCCGTCCACGTGACCTGTCACTGTAGGTGTGGACATGACCCTGGTGTCTCCACTCGGCATCACTCTGTCCCTCCCCACACTGTCCTCTGTGGAAGGAGGGCGCCGTGCACAGCCCACACCTGAGGAAGAGGAGCTGTGCTCCCTCCCTGCGGATGGAGGAGCTGCATAGACGATCTGGATTCTCCTGCAGAGGAGACTGACTCTCCTCCCCCGTGTACTTGTCAATTGCTCATTTATGTCAGTGTGGACTCATGGACATTTATCTTACACTCTGCGCTGTAATCCAACATGACTTTATTCTGGTGCTGAAACCGTTCCAGCTCCGGCCATCGGGAGCTCTTTGGGTCGGCTCCTGGGTCCCTCTGACACATCCCACCCAAGGAGGACAGGGGTTGTGTTTCTGAGCGCTTCCTTCCTTTCTGGCACCACCAGGTGCTCAGGCCCAGCTTGGCTCATCTTCACCATCCGGGCTCACCTTGGGCGTTTCCTGGCGGGTCCCGGAATCAGCGGGCTCCCCGCGTTGGAGAGTGGTATAAGCAGCTGGGGCCTGGGCGCTGGGCTGCTGACTTCTGCTGGGACTCGTCGTTTCTCGGCTACAGAGCAAGGAAGTGCCTGTGTGTATACTGACCCGGTGTGTTCCTGCAAAGTTAGGGAAACAGTTTATAGGACCGTTGTCATTTCTAACACTGGCTGCAAGTCTGGGGGTCCCCAAGACCACTCTCAGGTTCGATAATTCTCAGGACTCAAAACTCAGAAAGCTGTTACACTCACAGTTACGGTCTATCGTGGCCGAAGGATGCAGATGAAAATCAGCCAAGGGAGAGACCATGGGGCAGGGCCGGGAGAGTCCCAGATGCGGGACTTCCAGCCATCGCCTCCACACAGAGTCAGGACAGCGGTACTGCCCAGCATCAGCGTGTGACAGTGTGCAAGGAGTGTTGCCAACCAGGGATGCTCACCAAGCTCTGTCTCCCAGGTGGACGGGCGGGCAGGGCTGGCAAGCTTTGCCTTTGGTCCCTTTACAGGCTTTGCCTTGTGGCCCTGGGCACCCAGACCACGAGCGCAGGTCACCTGCTGGGACACCCTGACCAAGGCCCTAGGCCCCTCCAGGCCCATTCCAGATCCATGAGGTGGCCTTGCAGGGTGCTGGTGGGAGAACCTGAGGCTCTGAGGTGGCCGAGCGGGCCCTCACATGGCGTTCCCCAAGCTCCATCTGGGTGGGGTACTGCAGGGCACACACCGGGCACCGAGGCCAACTGGAGCCAGCATGTCAGCAGTGACACTGCCAATGGGCTGTGCTTATCAATAATGGATTAGATTGTCTAGGAAGTCCACCCTCTCTGGGCAAAAGAGTGTCGTGGTCGTGCTCTCCTTTCTAACAATTGAGGGGAGAGCCTCATGCAGCGAGCTGCCAGGCCAGCGGTTGTGGGGGCAAAGTGTATCCACCCATGGGATCCCATGTGGCCCCGGTGGCCTCGGCTACCTCTCGAGGCTGCTGCCGCCGATGCTTGGAACACGCCTGGGCTGGCAGCCTGGCTCGAGGGTGCTTCCTGCCGGCTCAGCCCTCCCAGCTCTTACAGACCAGCAGCAGCTGTGGAGAGCTGGCCAGAAACAGCACCGGAGAGACCACTGGGACCTCAGGGGCGTTGGTCCGTCAGCGTTGTGGATTCAGACGAGAGTCTGTGTCCTTCCCGCAGCATTGTTGGTCTTTCTTTCCAGGCCCCTGGCCCCTGGCCCCTGGGGGTGGGGCATGCCATGTGGGCTCCTTGACGTCAGCGGGCCACGGCAGGGGTCGAACACTCCACCTGCCAGCACGAGAGCCCCATAGCTGGGGCTTATCTTGGCGTGCCTGGACTCTTACCTTGTCCTCAAGGCTGTGGTGCCTGGCTGACGGGAGCCTTGTCAGGAAAGCATTGGCCCATTTGACAGTGGGGGAAACTGAGGCCTCTGGGGTAGAGCAGCTTTCCTGAGATTCATCGCAGGTCACGCAGTGTCCAAAGCCAGTGCTGGTGCAGCCTGTTTCAGCCCAAGGGGCTCTGCAGGCCCTTGGGCAGCGGGCTATGTGCTCTGTGAGCTGCACGTTGGTCCTGGCAGGCATTTCTCAGCCCACCGTCCACCGCACTCGGCCCTGCGGCCAGAACCAAGCCCAGACACTGTGAGTGAGTCAGCCTGGCCAGGGGCTCTCCCTGGGGGTGGGCAGCAGTGTGTGGGGTGTGGAAGCCCCCCCTCTCCCACTGGGTGGAGAGCTGGGGTGCTGGCTTGGCTCACTCTGATGGCCTCGGGGGGTGTGCCCCCTCCGCCTTTTCCACAATGTTATCATCTCGTGGGGAACCCCGTGGAGGGGGACATAGTGCCTCCCCTGGGAGCTGCCTACCAGGCCCTGGATGTGCTTTGAGGCTCAGGTGAGGGTCCTGCCCTCCTTGGCCCCCACCCTGCAAGGGGGCGCTCGTGCCACCCTGGCCTCGCCTGGGCCTGGGGACACCAAGGGGACTCCCAGATGTGTGTATGCTGCCTTGGGATGCTCAACTGTGAGAGCCGGAAGGAGCCGTGGGAGGCCTCAGCGCGTTTGCTCTCTTGCCATTTTATAGACGGGGATGGAGATCCAGGGCCCAAGGTCCCCCTGACCAGTAAGACAGGACTGGACCCAGACCTGACCTGCCAGCACGTGGCTGCTTCCTGGGAGTGCAGGCTGGAGGAAGGGGGCCCCGTGACAACCGGTTCTGTGAGGGTGGGCCTTGGGAGAGCTCTGGGTGGTTGGTGAGGGACCTGCTCCTGGGTGGACACAGGGAGAGGAGTCAGTGGCAGGAGGAGCAGAGCCGCAGCGTCCTGGGGCCGACGCTGACTCGGGAGGGGCCCATCCTGGCCGGCCTGGAGCGCATTCCCAAGTCGGCCCCCAGCCGGGTAAAAGGAAGGTAGGCAGCGCTGTCTCAGGTGGACAAGACGAGAAACGTCTCATTCATGTTTTATAAAACAATGTGAATAAAAGGTGAGGGCTCCTGGTCTGGAGGCTGAGTTCAGGTGCTGGCCTGGGACACAGCGGTTTCCTTGCCCTTCCCACCTCCACTGGGGTCCTCTCCCGCCGCGTGGCCCCTATGTCTCAGGTGACAGCTCCACAGGTAGGCGAGCTGCGCTGGACCACACTGGCCGCCGCGAGGCCGCACGTGCTCCCAGAGCCGCACGCTGAGAGCAGTGCTCATCCCGGCCGATCCAACAGCCCTCCTATGGATCCTGACCTCAGAGGGGCTCGGTGGGAGGTTCCAGGTGGACCCCATGCTGCGCTGACCTTGCTTCTCTGTGTCCACAGCCGGGCAGGCAGCAAGCCACGACCAGCCGAGCTGAGCCGGATGAGCGCGGCGCAGAGGCTCCAGCTCCTGTGAGTACGGCCCCGCCACCCAAATGAGGCTCTGGGGCTCCCGCTCTCCCCGCCTGTCCCACCCCAGGACGGTCGGGCATCTGGCCGAACCCCAGTCCACTTGACGCTGTTGGCAGCTCAGCCAGGGCCAGCTCTGGGGCACGGCGTCATGGGCATGAAGCAGCCTGTTTCTCACGGGCCGGGAAGCCCCTTCCCCCCGGGGTGGCCAGGGGAGCAGATGCTGCCACTGGCTCTCGGGGGTGCCCTCAGGGCCTGGTCCTCATCAGGGACTGATGGGGACACCCGGGGCCTGTGCCATCTGAGGCATCTCGGGTGTGCGGTCGCCTGGCTCTGGCTGTCCGTTGTCCAGTGGTTCAAAATCTTCCTGCTGGCAGCCAAGGAAGCTGGAGCCCCATGCAGTTTGGCCTTGCCCTTGGTCACACACATGCAGGGGCAGAGTGGGGCTTGGCCCCCACCCCTCCCACCCACGGCCAGCGCCTTCCCCAGTGCAGCGCTGGGTGGGCCATGTGGGCTTGTCCTGGAGCTGCTACCCTGAGGTTTCCATCCAGGTCACCTTCATTTTAGCAGCAGAGGTGTTGTCCCCCAAGGGCACCTAGCTGGGGCACCGGTGCCCATGGCCAGGCTGCAGGGCCCGCAGAGTATGAGCCGGCCCCTGCGCTTCCAGAAGGCGGCGTGACTGTGCCTGCTGCAGATGGAGGCTGGCTGGGTTTAGAGACGAGCGTGGAACGCAGCAGCTGCCGCCGTGGACTGTGGGGGCTCAGGGCCTCGCAGGAGCCCAGGATCCCTGTAGCCTTCCCATGTCCCCTGGGGAGGGCAGCAGCTGCCACTCTGTCACCATGGCGCCCAGCAGGGCTGCGATCCTGCCTCCTCCGCTCCTAAACAGGGGCGGTGTCTGTTTTGGCGGTGCCGGAGGGAGGGCCTCTTATGTAAGGCTGTGCGTCCTCGGCACGTACAGGCTGCTGCCTCCCCATCTCTGTCAGCTCCAGCCTTTAATAGCAGCTCCCTGCAAGGTTGGGGACAGGCACAGAGATCCCTCCTTGGGGGAGGGGCAGGGGGGCTAGCTCCCCACCGCTCACCCCATGGACGGGGCAATGGCTCCGGTGCCTGTGTGTGACCATGAGGAGACCCCAGGGCAGCGGCTGCCCTCCTGCCCTAAGCCCCTGCTCTGCTCTCCGACCTCCCTCAGCCTGACCCAGCAGGGCTGTGCCCCTACCCGCACTTGAGAAGCCCCGGGCAGAATTTCACAGCCCCGACTGCCTTCCTCACTCCCCACCCCTCGTCCCCTGCCCTAGACCAGCCCTTCATGAGTGTCCCTGGAGGGCGCCCGCCCCGCTCCTCCTTATGGTGACCCTTTAGGCCCTGGGTGCTCTGTCCCGTGATAACCCCTGGCCTGTCCATCCCTGTCCAGGGCAGTGTCCAGCCTGCCCTGAGGTGCAGGTGTGGGGTGGCGTGCCGAGGTGGGTCCTGGGTGTGCCGAATGCTTGTCCCTGGCCCCCACTGAGGGGTGAGGGGTGTGCTGATCTCTGACCTCGACTCTTTCAGTGAGGAAGAAAGGACCCGCTTTCGGGAGCTGCTGGCCAGTCCAGCCTATAGAGCCAGTCCCCTGCTGGCCATCGGGCAGCAGCTGGCCCAGCAGATGCAACTGGACCGTGGCGCGCAGCCCTGACCCGGCCCGGGGGCATGCCTGGAGCTCCGAGGACGCACACAAGATGCCCAGAGAGGGCTGACTCCTCACCGTCGTCACTCTGAGCCTGGTGGACAGCCAGCGCACCGCCACCTGGTTCTTTTTCAGTTATTAGGGAATGGGTAGGGGCAGAGCCCCCCTGCAAGGATGAATAAATGCTGGATAAACTCAGGCCGTGGGGCGCACGCTTCCTTCTGTGCCCCCGGCCGTTCCCGTGGGCTCCCCTCCGAACTCCTCCCCAGCTTCTCGGGGCTGGTCAGCCGCCCACGCTCTGCTCCGCACGACCTGCCTTTGACAAGATGCGAGGGCCCCAAGCCCTTTGCGGACCCGAGGTGGCCGTCGTGTGGGGTTCCTTAGGGCTTGCTGCCTCCCGGTGAGCAAGGGTGCAGGTGGAGGCCACGAGGCCTGCTCTCATCTCGTGGTCCCCGCCTTCCTCCACTGCGACTCCCTCGGCTCCCAGCCTCCCACCCTCATGACAGGTGAGCAGGCGGTTCTGCAGCCAGGAGCCTCAGAGCAGGCGGGCTAGGCCCTGGCTCACGCAGCTGACCTGGGAGCAAGACAGTTTGTTGTTAGAAGCCTGGGGTGTGGAGTTGGGCAGTAGAAACACTGACTTAAACCCTCGATTTTAGGATGTGGAAAGGTGGGGGATGCCTTTCCCAGCTCTCCAGGCCCACCCGGGCTCGTCCCCAGGAGTAGGAGTGGGGGGTTTGTGCTGTGGGGGACTCACCACTCGTGCCCTGCAGGGGGAGTGGTGGAGGACATGCAGCTCAGAGGCCAGGCCTCCCCCAGCAGCAGCTCTGGGCCCGGCGAGGGCTCCGCTCGGGGTGACCACACCGTCATTCTCAGGGGCGGGGCCTGAACATCCAGGACCCCTTCACAGGGGTAGTGTGGGGGGCGGGCACCAGCCCTAGGGCACCTAATCGATGTGTCCAGGTGCCAGGTAGTCACTCGGGGCCTCCTGGCTGAACTGGCGTGAGCCCCCTGTGCCCCCGACCTCCAGTGACACGGCTGCGTGCTCCCTGTTCGTGGACCTCCCATGGGACTTGGAGCCCCTGGCAGTGTCCACCGAGGCTGTCCAGGAGTGGGTGGCCAGGTAGAATCACAGCCCGTGCCCCTTGCCCCCCTGTGTGCCTGGGCTCCTTCCCTGGACAGGAACAGACACAGTGTCCAGTCACAGAGCATGGACAACATGGGACCATGGAGGCCGCAGGTGGGAACCCGAGCCCCCTCAGCCAGAGGTCAGCACAGTGGTCCTGCCAGACGCCACCAGCCCCTGAGCGATGGTGGCGGGGCTCCTCGGTGTGGATGGGTTCTCTGAGAGAAGCAGTTGACAAAGTAGTAGTTGTGACAAACCCATTTTTGTAATAAAATAAGTATTGGGAAAAATGGCGGATGGAGGTGGAGCAGGGCGCTGGCCGCCCGGGAGGTGTGCACCTTGGCCGTTCCTCGTCACGCTTCTCTGTCTCATCTGGGGGCTTGTTGGTGACTGCACGTTAGGGTGTGTTACCTTCAGAGAAACACCTGGCTTCCTGGTCCTGTGATGACTGCAGTCTGCCTGTGGCGGGACGGGGCTCAGCCCATCTGCTCGTGGCGCCCTCTCTCAGGACCACTGGCTTCTGCCTGGACACCAGGCCTTCCCCTGGGGCCTGCCCTAGAGGGCAGACAGGAGCCGCGAAGGCCACATGGCCGCGCTGTAGGGGACGGGGCTATGGAAAGGGAAAGACCTGGGATGGGGTGGGCCTTGGCACAGGGGGTGAGATGCAGGCTGCCCCGTTCACTGCAGTGGGCCTCAGAGCTCGGCCAAGAAAAGGGCCTGAGGAGCCGCCAACGTGAGTGGGGATGTCACCGCAGAGCAGAGAGCCTGGACCCCGGCGACTGCTGCTGCCCAGGTAGGCCGTGGGCGCAGAGCGTGGGCATCGAGAACAGGGTGGCCGCGGATGCAGAGCCCATCCCGGAGGGGCCCCCAGTTCCTGAGGGTGTCCTCCGGGACGGCACCACGTCCTCTGGGTGTGGCCAGAGTGGGGAGGGGAGGGATTGTAGGAACTTCCCTACTTCTGCGTATGTGTGTTTTCCAGTCTTTGTAAAATGAACACGAATTCCTTGGTAATAAATGTAAGTGATGAAGTTAAACAGTTCAGTGGTTTTCACATCTTTTCAGTCCTGGAGCCTGCAGTCTGCTTTCCCGCCCTGCGGGGTCAGTGGGAAGTCAGCCTCTTCGGCTGCGTGCGTCCCCACTGCTCTGGCACCCGCCCTGCAGGGCCCTTTGGGGAAGGAGCCCTGGTCGGGGACAGCACCCCACAGGCACCCTGCCCAGGTGCACTGTGGGCCCCCAGGAGGGCCAGACTGGGGTCCCCGCTCCTCGTGTCCCTCGTTCCCGCAGACCTCAGCGTGCAGCACCAGGCCGTGTGGGGAGGAGCCCGAGCCAGCCGGGGCGGTGGGGGACTTCCAGCTGAAGGAGTGAGGGGCTCTGCACACTGGAGACAGCAGTGAGGGATGACCGCAGGCCCCTGCCTCCTCGAGCTCCACGGTTTCCCCGCCCAGCGCGACTTTTCCTCCTCCCTGAGCATCACTGGGCCTGCCCACTCTGACCTCAGGCTCTCCTCCAAAGGAGACCCTTACCTCCCCCAGCCCCCACCAAACGTCCTCAAGACCCCTTCTCATGCTCCAGCCACCCACCTGGCTCTGCCTTCCCCATAAAACACCCTGTCTCCCTCCCCATCTTGGGCCCTTTTCCCAGTCTCCTGGGAGCCGTGTGTATCAGTTACCAGCTGCCGTGATGTTGCTGTGTAACAAACGTCCCCAGGCTAATGCCACCATGCCTTATTTCCCACACGTCTGTGCCAGGCTGGACTCCTCTTGGCTGACCCACCCACTGAATTAAGTTTCCTGGGGTGACATAGCCACAAACTGGGTGGCTTGAAACAGCAGAAAAGTGTTCTCACAGGCTGGAAGTCTGAAATCAAAGTGTCGGGGGCTGCGACCCTCCAGGCTCGTGGGGAGAGTCCGTTGCTTCTTCCAGCCCCTGGTGTTGCTGGCGCCCCCTGGCATCCCTTGGCTTGTGGCTGCATCCCTCCTGTCCCTGCCTCTGTCGTCACGTGAGGACACCAGGCGCTGGGTTGGGGTCCACCCTCCTCCAGGATGGTCTCTTAGCTAACTCCATGTGCAAAGACCCCATTTCCAAACACGGTCACACTCTGAGGCTCCAGGGCGACGTGAATCTTGGGAGATGGCCTGTGGGGTGGCCCGGGCACCAGGGTTTTTAGAAGCTCCCAGGTGAGGAGAAGGTGTGCACCCAGAGTCGACCACCATCGGCAAGTGGGGCGGGGAGAAGAGAGCCCCCGTTACATGGAGAGGTGAAGTGGGTCCACACAGCAGAGAGCTGGGCGTTGGGAGGCTCTCGGGGGCGGGATGTGGACAGCTGGAGGAGGGGACCAGAAGGCGAGGGGGAGCTGCAGCACAGCCGGAGGGGCACGTTGGCACTGAAACTGTGGCTGGTGGGCCGGGCTCCCTCAGGATGCAGAGAGTCCAGCATCCCTCCCTCCCGGCCTCCCTCCCGGGAGCCTCTCCCCGCTGTCCCCCAGCCCTCGGGCCCCCTCGCCAGGCTCTGCACACTGGTGCCCTGCCCTCTGCATCTGCCTCTCTAGCACGTGGGCATGTGGCCTGTGCTCCGTCCCTTCCCCGTGAGGAGGAAGCCCCTGCGGGCAGGGTTTGCTGTGCGCTGCTGTGTAGACAGCGCCTGAACTTCCAGAACACGTGGTGGGGAAGGGGTGATGGAACGAAGGAATGAATGAACAAGAGGCAGGAAACATCCGGGCCTGGACAAGCCCAGACGACAGCACAGGGGCCGCGTGTCCACACACACAGTGTCCAGGGGAGAGAGGGTCGCCCTGGGGCCCGACTCAGAAGGACCCCCAGCAATCCCCCTCCTCATCTCCTTGCACCATCCCTCCTCTCCCCTAGGTCCACCCGGAGGGGTGGGGTACAGGCCGCAGGTCCGCTGCACGGGACCAGCCCTGCCTTGGGAGAGTGGAGAGCCGTGAGTGGAGAGCCGGGCAGCCTATGGGGGCTGGCTCGTGTTTGGGGTGTGCCCTCTGGTACTGGGTTGCTGGGCTGATGACTGTGCCCCGTCTGCGCGCAGCTTTGGCGAGCCCAGCTGCATTGGGTTTGTCTGTCTGATGTCACGTGACCCAGGCCCGGGGCGCCCACATGCCCCGCCTCCAAGGGAGGAGCCTGTTTGTGCTCCGAGCATTGGGTGTCACCAGATTTGTCCTGGACATGGGGGTGAGGCGCGGGGGTGGTCAGTGGCCGTGCAGCTGCGCCTGTCGGGATCCTGTGCTGTTTGGAGCCGGGTGCGGTACCGACACCAGGCGTGCTGCTTCTGGAACATCTCGTGCAGCAATATGCCAGTGACACAGCCTGGGCTGGCGCCTTTGAGCTGAGATGTTGGGGCCCAGCTGCTGCATGCCTCCCGTGGGTCCTCAGCTGCCACCCTGCTTCCAGGATGTTGGGAGAGCTGGCTGGCAGAGACAGCGGGATGCCAGCCTTCTGGGCCTTTCTCTGGTGTCGTGTTCCTGGGGCAGCTGGTCCCCAGCTCCTGGACCTGAGACCTGCACATCTGCATGGAGGGCGTCCTTATTTTAAAGTCAAAAAAACTCAACTAAATGGCATTTTTCTTCTAAAGATGTTCGGGTTAATGTGGGTTAAAACGACAATTAAGGCACATACCTGGTGTTGGCTTGTGTTTCTTAAGTCTTCCTGAGACTGAGAAATCTTAATTTCAGATCCAGGTGGAAAGTCAGCGATTACTTGTGGTTCTGAATCCAAATGTTTCTTCCGGTGCCACAGCAGCACCTGGCTGTGGAGCCGCTGGGCCTCCTGCCAGGCCTGGGCCCTTGTCCCTTTTGTCCCTCTGGTCCTTCCTGCCTGGAGAGGAGGCCTTGGGAACCGAGAGGGCTGGGGCCCTGGCTGGGACCTTCTCTCCAGAGGGGGAAATCAAGGCTCACAGAGGGGGAGCCTCCCCAGGCGCTAGGGGCTGTCTGGTGCCTCTCCTGCGAACGTCCTCAGGAGTGCAGCTTCCGGCTGCCCCGTGACCCCACTTACTCACTTGACCTCCGCCCTCTGTTCAGGTCATCACCGTAGGAGCC